GCCGTCCTCGCTCTCGTACTTGATCGTCTCCTGGCGAAAGTTGACGCCGAATCGTTCCAGCACCACCTCAACGCCCGCCGACTTGGCCTTTATCTTCAGGCCCGGGCCTAGGTGCACTTGGGCGTCGGCGTTCACCTCAGGGACGTTGCTTTCGTTTACTTCAAACTGTGTTTCGAAAAAAGAGAGAGACATGATTGGTTGTTGTTGTTGTTGGTGGTGGTGGTGGTAGTGGAGCTGGTGGTGCTGGTGAGTGGGTGACGTGATGGTGGCAGCCACGACACTGACAGTGATCAGGAAAGTGGTTGGATGCTAGAGTGTGTTTATACTCTCACTAACGAAAGCGCAATCTGGTAGCATCCATGTCAGGCGCATCAAGTTCGACGTGTTTGTCCTTGAGTTATTTCTTTTAAACTCTGCTGAACGCGGCTACAGCTAACAGCAGTGATTGCTCCCTTTCTCACTGACGCATCTTTAAATACAGTTTTAATCTAGAAGCTCTTGACTCAGGACTCAGGACTTTGACTCAACTACTTTAATTTTTTACAAACGCTTAAAAATACAAAATCACACATTTTTCAACTTCAATCGATGACAGAAATTAAAGTATACCGAATTTAACAAAAAAGGCTTCATTACGTTTTAGTTTAATTTTTTAACTTTATTTTAAAACAAAAATTAAAATTTTAACTGTTTCAGGGCCCGAGAAAAACAATTTAACAAAAAAAAATGACATTCTCTATAGGAATAATACGAGAACCAAAAAATTGAAAATTTGACTCATTCTCACCTTAAAGTTGAAATTAAAGAGGAAAATACAATCGATGGCTAAGAGGGGTTCAATCATGAACTTAAATAAAACTGAAAAATTTTGAAAACGCTGGTTGGAGAGGACTAAGAGACTCGACATTAATTTAGGAAAGAGAAATAGGTTCAAGGGGTTATTGAAGTATGTGTCAAGGAATTTTCCTTGAAGTGTTAGCTGACGCCATCAAAACGGTTTCTATCATTGCATCCAAATTGATATTCAGATTCATGATTTCTACTATAATTAGTAATCTGATCGATATTTCTGCAAGGACTTGAAGCCCCTCCAATTGAGCCAAAGGGTGTGTTGAAAGTGTACTTGCCGCCGACGCCGAGAGTCAGGCCAAAACCGAGAACATTTGCCTCCCAACCTTCGGCGCCGATCTGGATTCCGGTGTTGGCGTTCAGGTTGGCGCTGGCGTAGGCGTCCACCTCCTTCGTCACCGGGAAGCATTTCTCGGCTCGGGCGAGGCTCAGCTCCGCCTTCGCCGCCAGGCTGCCGCCGTTGAGGGTGCGCTTGTAGCCCGCCTCGGCGCCGGCGCTCGGCCCGGCCACCGTCCCGGAGCCGTCTTCGCTCTCGTACTTGATCGTCTCCTGGCGAAGGTTGACGCCGGCTCGGTTCAGCACCACCTCGCCGCCCGCCGACTTGGCCTTCACCTGCAGGCCGGGGCCGAGGTGCACCTCGGCGTCGGCCTTCGCCTCGATCAGCTTGCTGTCGTTGACGTCCAGCGTCGTTTCGAAGTAGCTTACTGGCATGATGAGGAGAGGTCCACGAGAGGTTTGGAAAACAATAAAGTCAAAAGGAAAACGAAAACTGCTGAGTGGTGGTGATGATGCTTGCAGTCAAGAGACGCTGACTGTAAAGATCAAGAAAGTGGTTTGATACTAGGGTATTTTATACACACGCACACTAGCGACGGCACTCTGATAACATCATATGAATAGCTCGATGTGATAGTTTCTCAGCTAAACCTAACGTCATTGCTATTTTTCTCTGTAAAATATCCTAAGCTCGGGTGCGCTCATACTGCTAAAATCAATTCTCACAAACTCATCTCTCTAGTACAATTGCCGCCAGTTTTTATTTATCTTGCAGTAAAAAAAGTGTGTAATGGAAAGTGGAAAAGGGGATTAGAGCGGTAAACTGCACAACTTCTGTTGCGTCTACACTTGAAGAACACGTGACTCCTCCTCGTTATGTCAGATGGCCATTCTCTGTCGATTTGAATGTCTATTTGAAACTCTGCTGCTGTTGGTATGTCGGAGGCTCAGTGAGGCTCCGCCAATCGAGCCGAAGGGCGTGTTGAAGTGTCGTCCACTTGCCGCCGATGCCGACCGTCACGCCTAGGCCGAACACACATTCACCTCGACGCCATCGGCGCCGATCTCCAGGCCGGTGTTGGCGTTGAGGTTGGCGCTCAAGTAGGCGCCCAGTTGTTCTCCGTCACCCGAAAGTTCTTCTTGGCCCGGGCGAGGCTCAGCTCCGCCTTCGCCGTCATGTTGCCGCCCTTCTCGGTGCGCTTGAAGCCCGCCTCGCCGCCGCCCGGCTTGGCCCGGCTACGATGCTCGAGCCATCTTTGCTTTGGTACTTGATCGTCTCCTGGCGAAAGTCGATGCCGGGGTCCGGTGCAGCACTGCTTCAGCTTTTGCCGACTTGGACTTCACCGCGGGGCCACCCCATCCGATGTGCGCATCGGCGTCGGCTTTTCCCTCGAGCACATTGCTGTCGTTTAAGTCTAGCTTCGTTTCGAAGAAGGTGAGAGACATTTTCGGTTGTGGTTGGTGGTGGTGGTGGTGGTGGTGCTTGAGTGTGCGATGGCGGTAAGACACGATGTGACTAGTTGAATGTGGTTGGAAGTACGCAAGTATTTTTATACACACACACAGACACTAACGACGGCGTTCTGATAAAATCATATCAAACTCACCGTGTTCGTCCTTGATTTTTTTCCTCAGTAAAACCTCCGCTGAACTCGGGTACAAGCTCTCGCTCTAAACAGCAACAGTGATTGCCTCCCTTTTTTCAATGCCTCATCTTTCAGTACAGTTGTGGAGAGCTTTTATTTACTTATCTGGCAGTGAAAATGTGTGTTCTGCCTTTGGTGGTTAGGAATGACTATACACATAGAAAGAGAGAGAGAGAGAGAGAAGGAAAACTGGAATCAGAAAGGGTAAGATGAGGTGGGAAAGTGTGTGTGTTTATCATCATGATCTTCACTGGTGGTGGTGATGGTCGTGGACTTATTCCTTGGTGCTCTTCGGCTTGGCGAAGCCAATCGATCCAAAGGGCGTGTTGACCTTCCACTTGCCGCCGACGCCGGCCGTCACGCCCAGCCCCAGAAAGTTCACCTCGACGCCGTCGGCGCCCACCTCTAGGCCGGTGTTCGCATTGAGGTTGGCGCTGGCGTACACGTCCAGGTCTTCCGCCACCTGCAGGCTCTTCTCGGCGCGCACCAGGCTCAGGTCGGCCTTGGCGACGAAGTTCCCTCCGTTGACGGTGTGCTTCACGCCCGCCTCGGCGCCCACCATCGGCCCGGCCACCGTCGCCTTCCCGTCCTCCGTCTCGAACTTCAGCGTCTCCTGGCGAAAGTCGACGCCGTCGCGGTGCAGGNTCCGACTTGGGCACCGCTCCGCGCGGACCGAGGTGGACCTCAGCGTTGCGGTCGCCGAACTTTTCGTCGTTCACTTCGAGCTTCGTCTCGAGAAGGGTGACAGGCATGGTGATGGTTGGTTGGTGGTGGTGGTGGTGGGAGGATTTCAACGAGAAAAAGTGATGCTGGAAACACTGGCAAACAGAGAGAGAAGAGGAAAATGCAAAGCGACTTTTCTATCGATGATGCAATTGCACTGTTGCTGCGTTGATGACAGAGAATGGCTGCTGCTTTTGCTGCCTTTATATTGCCCACTCTGCCACTCTAGAGTTGCCTCAACGTTTCGAAATGAGTCATTGGCAGTGGCAGCAGCAGCAGGTGGTTGCTATAGCCGCCTTATCAGCTCGGAGATGATAATCCCGCCAATCAAAGAGAAGAAAAAGGTGCAACGAGAAACAAAGGATAGTGTGTGTGTGCTTTTATTGGTAAAACTGGTGTTGCGCGGTAACTGGTAAGCTGGCTGGCCAACCATAAGTTCTACAGGAAATGACTACACAGGTGTAAAACAGAGGTATCAATGCTCTGAAATTGCCCCTTTTTACAGAAGAGAAACCTTACAGAAAGGTTGTCAATGAGGACAGAACAGCACTGAAGTTCTCTTAGTAGCAGCAAGGAAATGGTGAAAGATTTACTTTGAGAAGAGAGGGGCGGCTACTACAGCAGTGTAAAGAGTGAATGTGAGAAGAGTGTTCAGTGTTTATACAATTACAGCTTTAAAATACAATTTATTTTGTGGGGTGGAGAAACTGCTTCGAGCAAGTGGAGTCCTTCTTTTTCTTCTTCAGGATCACACTTCTCCCTTTTCTCCTTCTTCCCTAGGCTTTAGTGGCCGTACTTCTGGAACTCCCACTCGCGGTTGTCCAGCGGACAGACCTGGCGGGTCTTCAGCCAGCGACTGATGCAGTGGAAGTGAAAGGCGTGGTTGCAGACGCCCCAGGCGACGGTGCACTCCTCCGAGGCGGCGGAGGCCTGATTAGCCTGGCACTCGATGCACAGGTCCATGATGTGGTTGCGGCAGATGGCACAGTTGTCCACGACAATGTCCCAGGCCCAGAGCGCCACGGCCGACCACTTCTTCACCTCGAAGCGCTTCCGGCCGTGGACGGCCTGCGTCGAGGAGGAGGGCATCTCCGGGTTGTTGAGGTTGCTCTCCATGTCGACGTCGTCGATGGGATTGTTGTCAACATCGGCCATGTTTTCTTGTTTATGTGTGAGCGAGTGCGATTGTGAGTGGGATGAGTGGGAGAAAGCTCAGAGATCTGCTGAGAAAGAGAAAGAGAGGTAAGGTGAGCAAGGTTGACACAGCAGAAAGAGAAGACGCAGACCTTGTCGATGAGGTTCTTCGGAGATTTGCGTCGTACTGTTTGCAAGAGATGAATAGCGCGACTGAAGTAGAATTCCTCTCGAAGATGATTTGAGTTGACGCCGAAGCCGAAGCCAAACACAAAGCAGCTGGAAAAAAATCAGCAAAACAAAAAAAGGTGCCCCTTCAAAGATGCTGTGACTCGGACTGGCGTGGAAAAAGTGGGCATCAGGTTTATTGAAAAGCAGCCTCTTTTAGAAACACACCTGTTTTAGAACCAGAGCGCTGAAATTGTTCGAATAAAGAGNGATGCTGTGACTCAGGCTGGCGTGGAAAAAGTGGGCATCAGGTTTATTGAAAAGCAGCCTCTTTTAGAAACACGTCTGTTTTAGAACCAGATTGCTGAAATTGTTCGAATAAAGAAGCAAAGAATCCAATTAGAAAGCAGAAACTTCCGGCCGTTTAGAAATGGGGGAGGAGGAGGCGCCTCTTCTGCTCTTCTTTTTTGCTGGCTCACGGTGCTCACCTGCTGAGGACGTCCACTNGCAAAGAATCCAATTAGAAAGCAGAAACTTCCGGCCGTTTAGAAATGGGGGAGGAGGAGGCGCCTCTTCTGCTCTTCTTTTTTGCTGGCTCACGGTGCTCACCTGCTGAGGACGTCCACTGTGACGGGGCCAATGTTTTGCCAGTGACCAACGTTGCGCGGCGCACGTGATCCGCAGACGCTGATTTTTATTTCTGGTATCCGTGATTGATTGAAAATCCTCCTGAAAGTAGAGCCGAATCTTTTAGTTATCTTATTCTATCTAGTGCCTCGCCAACAGATCAGAGCAGATGATCGAGCAGGCGAACTGCCAGATCACCGGCGTCTCCTTTCGCCTCTTCACCGAGTCGGAGGCGAAGCGGCTGTCGGTGCTCTCGGTGAGCAATCCCACCACCTTCGATCCGCTGGGCCATCCGATTGAGAACGGCCTCGC